TAGATAAGAAACAAAAAAAAAGGAAAGAATAAGGTCTCGATATATAAATATCTCATTCACAGATTTTCAATTAATCTCAAAATTGAAATAAATGAATATTTAATGATAAAAATCACATTTTGTTAATGCATGGAAAATTATACACGTGTGCGTAAATAAAAATGGCTTAAAGTTATTAGACTTTTCTCTGTTAATCATATTAATTATTATATATATATTGTAATTAATATGATAATGATATGAAAAAAGAAAGAACTATTACTAATTTGTACAGTTATAAGTTCATCTAACTGCTTCTTATTTTAGTAGATATACATATATTTATTTCTAATAATAATTATTATATTTTATGAAACATATGTATATACCGAAAATGGATTTACTATAAAATGAAACTTCCAATATTTGTTAGGATGATGTGAAATTAATGCACAATATCATAATTTTTTTGATTGATATTTATTATAGCAAAACAACTTAAAGATTCGATATCATCATGTTTGAAAGTTGATTTAAGAACTATACTATATGTATTTTTATTAACATAATTTAATTGATTAGAATAATTTGTAACTCAATGTTAAAATAAATTGATAATTTATTGGAATAAATAAAACTATACAACGAATTTAATTTTATCTTAAGTTTAAAAACACATGAGTTTTAATTTATTATTTGTTCTTTTTAATTAATAAAATTTATAAAGTTTCTTCTTTTATTTAAAGATAATAATATAAAATTAAATATGAAAATAAATTACTTTTTTAATAATATCTTAATATTAATATTTAACGTATATTAAGAAATTTTATGTACGCATTTTATGTGTTGTTATAATATATATATTTACGTAAAATATATAATAAACAAATATTTTAGTAATTTTTACTATCTTGTTGTCATGTATTACATAAATTGTTTCATATGCGCATTTTCTCTTTTACACGTGCGCGCGTGTGTAACAGATACACCATTATTATATAAAAATTTATTTTAGCTTTTATAGAGTAATTCATTTTTGCATTTAATATATTTATTCTTGTAATTTGTTTTATAAATATAAAATAGAAATCGTATGTTAGTTAATGTTAGTAATTTTTCTATATAAGAATAATATTTACTATTAACCATATAATGTACTTATCTTTATGGAAAATATTGAAGTATTTTTAAAAAAAGTATTGTTATTAAGTAAAAAGTTATCTTTTAATTTATATATAAGTTTATATATACCTATCATTCACTTAAAATAAATTGCATTAATTTTACAACACCCTGATATATTTACTAATAATAAATCTCAGAAAATGTTAAATCTTGCTTCATTTATAATTAAAATATTATAAAGTTATCCCTTTTGCTTTGCCTTTTCAGAATCAGAATATTATATCTGTAAATATTTATGCAGTGTATTATGAAATAGTAAATAATAAAATTTATATCATGCAGATAAGGCAATTAAAACAGATCACTAAAATATTTAAGTTTTGAAAAAATAAAAACATATTTTTAATCATGAAAATTGTTTGATATGGAGATCAATATTACTTGATAATATGTTTCGTTCATAATTTTTTAAAAAGTAATTAGAGCCTACTATATTCTACTATAATAAGACGTTCGTATTTTCATATTTATACCACATATAGCTATAGATCACCATATCATTTCATATCATATAATTGTAAAATAAATTTTATATATATATAATACTTTAGTTTATTTAATTAAAACATTAAATAAAAAGTATAATGATTATGAAACATTAATGAAAAAAATTAATATGTTGTATTTTGGTGATATTTTATTACCTTATATATTTATTTTCTTCAATTTAAAATTTATATTTATATAATTCAGCTTTAAATATTAAAAATATAAAGATATATTTTTACATTTTGCTGTAAAATTAATCATAATATTGAAATGTTTAATATTTTTTAGTATTTATAAATAAAAATTTTCTTCCATATATTATTCCATATCAAGCAATCTTTATTTAAAATATTGTTTTATTTTTATAATTATTATATTTATCATCAAAGAAAGATGACTTGTTTTAAATGTCTGCACCTGTATGTATTATGTATGTGTAGTATAATACATCATCTGTAATATGTTGTACGTATGCACAT